CGTACTGTTTGTGTGTGTGTGTGTGTGTGTGTGTGTGTGTGTGTGTGTGTGTGTGTGCATGCATGTGAGAGTAGGATGTACAGTGTGTTAAAAAAACATTCCAGTTGTGAAGGTTTTAGCGCTTTGTGTGTGTTCAGAAAAAAATGAGTGACTGTGTAGCACACACGTTTGAGTAAAATTACAATATCTGCACATAAAAGCCACTCAAAGAGAAACAGRCCCATTTCACATCTGTTTAAATGAAACAACTGAAAGCATTTCATTTTACAGAAAACAAAAATCAAACCATGCTTCCATACTGTACTTAGTTAGATGAAAACACAGGTAAAAKAGAAATAACATACTGTTATTAAAAGTATTTTGTACTATAAAATCATAAATATTACCTAGTATTTGCACACCGTTTAGCTGGGAGAATTCTCATTTTATTCTGTCAAGGTTACTATGAATTTCTGGTGCTCCTACATTATAATCATAATTGATTTCTGGGTTGGTGTGCATACAAATACCAGGACAAATGATGTTTTAATTTTAAGTACCGCAACCAAATTGACAAGAGCTCCTCAGCTTTCTATGATCCCTGCTTAGTCATGCATGTCAAGAGTGAACAGGGAAACCCAGAAGCAAGTAACAGACTAATTTAAATGAAGACGCCACGTTGTCAAACAATAACGTATACTGCACACGAGCCTTTCACATCACGTGTGACACAAAGTTTATGTTATCTCTTACTTTAATGAAAGCCTTGATCACTGGGTGAAAAGGACGAGGCTCATACATAACCCTGTGACAGGCTGCACACTGCATCACTTGTCTGGCTCTCTGCATCTGTGCATCAATACATGCTAACTGTGCATGTGAATAATGCATTTTTATTTGTGATATATAGTAGACATTTAGGATGCAAGCGTGCTTTGTGTGTGCACTTTCTCTGTGTTTCTACACGCATCATATTTTGTGTGTGACATTTTTTTTAATTTATTTATTTTAATGCCACGAACAGCTCAAACACTGACCTGTTCTGACATAATAATATTCTGCTGCAGGGGATCAAAACTAAAAAAAAAAGGGGCGGGGAGAGAAATCCATAGTCCTCGGGGGAGAATGGTGACAGAGAGGAGTAAGAGGTTTATTGTAAAACAGAAAAAAGCCAAAGAGAAAAAGAGACAAGCCAGGGAGAGGAGAGGGCAAGGAAGAATTACACAGATAGGGGGAAAAAAAATATAATATATTAAAG